TGGGGGGGGGAAATGCCACCGTAAAGATCTGATCCATTGGTCATTTGGGGGCCCGTGTGAGATTCTACCAGTTATAGCCTTTGCCACCGCCAGTGTTTGTTAGGCTCAACTTCCCCGGGGCACACGTGACTTCCTGTTGGCCATTTTTAGTCGGTATCCATTCGTAGTGTTGTGCGTTTTTAGCCAGCATTAGTGCGTGGGGTCACCGGAGGGCGGGTAGCTTCTTGATACTAAGGCACGTTTTTCTCAAGTTCACATGCTTTTTTTTTTTTTTTTTAATGTTCATTTATTTCTGAGACAGAGACAGAGCATGAACAGGGGAGGGTCAGAGAGAGGGAGACACAGAATCCGAAGCAGACTCCAGGCTCTGAGCTGTCAGCGCAGAGCCCGACACGGGGCTCAAACTCGCAAACCGTGAGATCGTGACCTGAGCCGAAGTCGGTCGCTCAACCGACTGAGCCACCCAGGCGCCCCATCAGCTTAAAAAATTTTTACTTTTTACCCATATCAGGTTATCGCATGCGTTTGGGACTCTTTCTGGTTGTATTTTGCGGTGAATAATTCTAAAAGTTGCTAAGACGGTACTGGCTGTTTGTGTCCAGGTCTGGTTGCCCAGGCAAAGGAACACAGGGTTCGGATTGTGTTGGGGGTCCTGCCGCGCTTGGGGCTGACCAAGAACGGACTGTCACATCTCCTATCACTTTACAGATATGCTTGACTGGCACACAGGAATAGCCGGGGGCTGACCGTCTCGGGACTTGAAATGTCCTTGGGGGAGTCAGAGTGATTCTTTTTTGCCATCTGACTTTTCTGTCTGTTATCCAAAGCAGAGACCCCAACAGAAAGCCTCACAGAGCCTGAATTGGCCCAAAAGGAGGAAGCAGAAGGGGACCGGCCCACGACGCCCGCTGAGCACTTAGAGACCTCCCGTGAGTTTCCAGTCCTCTGCCTCCAGCCCGCCCTGGCTCTCTGGCTTTGGGTTGGATGTCTTCGGAGGCCAGTTAATTTTCAACACGACATAGCTCCTCAAATGTGTTGTTTAAATGCAAATTCTAGGAGGGGCGCCTGGGTGGCTCGGTCGGTTGAACGTCCGACTTCGGCTCAGGTCGCGATCTCGCGGTTCGCGAGTTCGAGCCCCGTGCCGGGCTCTGTGTTGACGGCTCAGAGCCTGGAGCCTGCTTTGGATTCTGTGTCCCCCTCTTTCTCCGCCCCACCCCTGCTCGTGCTCTGTCTTTCAAATATGAATAAACATAAAAAAAGATGCAAATTCTAGGGGAGTCGTAGGTTTTATTACCGTTCTTACGGTTATAATCTCCCCCCTGTGTGTGTGGGTAAAGAAAAAAGAGCTGGGCGTCCTCCAATAAGATATTTGTATCTCTGCGAAATCACAGGTACTAAGTGCTGCTCACTGAGCGGGAATTTATGAAGTTAGACAGTGTAGTTACCCTCACAGGCCAGACCACAAGCCCACAGCTGGGTGTCCGTGAGACTCCTGTGTGAGAAAGGACACCATGGGCGCATTTTGAGGATACAAATCGCATCCGATTTGCTGCAGCGGCAGGAGAAGCGGGAGTGTTTTCTTCTAATCGTGCTGAGATTTCTTTTTACCGCCGTTCGCATAACGTCTCCAGTTTCAGGCCAGATGCCGAGCGGAACCCTTAGTACTTGACGCAAAAGCTTCAGGCCCAAGAGGCTCAAAACTTACGCGCGGAGAGAAAAGGGGCAAAACAGGGGCCGTTTTCTGCTCGGGGCGTCAGAATGACCCGGGGTTACAAATGAAGTTTCGGGTTGGATGTTGGCATCTCCAACTGACCCTGGGTCTCGCTTTAGCAGCCGAGCCCCCGACAGACAGCACCTCAGAGCCTGAGGTGGCCGGAAAGCAGGAAGCACGGGCGGGGGACCAGGCTGAGCCTCCCCCCAGAGCTCCCAAGACGGTCAGCAGTTTCTTCGGTGAGTGTCTCCCGCCCATCAGCTCCCAGCCGCGCGGGGAGGAGGCCGGTAGGCCTTTCTCCGGAGCACGCCCTGCCCTACCCCTGCCCTACGGAAGGCCTGACCCCTCTCTCCTGGCCTGATGGGCCGAGAGGAGTTGGGCAGTGGGGGCTCTCAGGAGGAAGGGCCCACAGTTTCCTGACTTCATTCCCAGCCCCTCGGAAGCCGGCGACCAAGAAAGAAGGGAAAGAAGAGGGACCTGGCGCCCCTAGAAAGGAGGAGGCCAAAGGGTGAGTTGATATCGATTGTCGAGTAGCGAGGACGGGGCATTAAAGGGAGTAGCGCAGTGGGTCCGAATTCTCTTGATTTTATCCCTGTAAAGACGAGACCGATAATCACCAAAAATTCTTTTAGCTTTAAAAATCTGTGATTACGGTAGGGCCTGGAGGGCTCCGCCGGTTTGGGCGTCCGACTTTGGCTCGTGTCACGATCTCGCAGTCCGTGGGTTCGAGCCCCGCGTCGGGCTCTGCGCTGACAGCTCGGAGCCTGGAGCCCGCTTCGGATTCTGTGTCTCCCTCTCTCTCTCTGCCCCTCCCCGCTTGCACCCTTTCTCTCTCTCAAAAATAAAATAAAAAAAACACGCAAAGAATTTTTTGAAAAGCCGTGATTACAGTTAATTCTTCTTCTTTTTTTTTTTTAAAGTTTATTTGTTGATTTTGAGAGAGTGCACGCACGGGCGTGCACGACCAAGGGAGGGGCAGAGACAGAGGGAGAGAGAGAATCCCAGGCAGGCTCTGCGTGGTGCCAGATGCAGGGGCTCGAGCCCACGAACCGCGAGCTCCTGACCTGAGCCGAAACCAAGAGTCGGGCTCTTCACCGACTGAGCCACCCTGGCGCCCCCGTCCTGTTACCTATTTCACGTGATCCCGAGATCATTCTTCCAGCTCCATTCCAAGCCTGATTACTCGTCCATCTCCGATGGCTGCCTCCAGGAGACAGACAAACGTTCGGGACGTCCAGTTTTTCTCACCTCGGAAATGGGGACATACCGGTGACCGCACTCGCTTTCATCCAGCGGTCACTGTGCATAGGTGCATAGGTTCTGTCGGTATCCCCATTTCACAGACGAGGAAGGTGAGGCCTGAAGGCAGGACGGTATCGTGGAGTGGTGAGAAGCCCCAGCTCCTCCTCGGCCAGCTGTGTGACCTTGGGGAAGCGCCTTAGCCTTTCTGTGCCAGTTTCCTCCCGAGGGTTAGAAACATTTGGCTAGGGCCTGGCCACTGCCAAGCTCAGCAGGTCGTAGCTGCTACTATTGTTCCTCTTAGTATTAATTTACCGTCGGTGCCTCGCGTAGGTCACGGGTGGGGAGCGAGGCCCGCGCGCTGAGATTTGAACCAGGCGGCCTGGCTGTAGGATTTCTTAACCGCTGTGCTGTCTCTCATAAGAACAGTACGGTCGACCGGGACGACCACCACCTAGGAAATGCTTCCCCTGCGGAGCCCCACGCACGCCCCGTCCGGCTCAGCCGCACAGCCCCGTCTGTGCATCAGAGTCCGCGCAAGAGCTGGAAAAGTTCCCGAGTCTTCTCTCCCACCCTCTTGTGCCTCCCCAGTTTTGAGGTAGATACAGGCCTGAGGCTGGGGAGTCCGGGTCATTTTAAACACGCTCCCCACAGGGGCGCCTGGGTCGGCCCGTCAGTTAGGTATGTGACTCTTGATTTCGGCTCAGGTCGTGAGCTCGCGTTTCATGGGTTCGAGCCCCGCATCGGGCTCTGCGCTTTGGGTCCTCTCCCTCTCTCTGCCCCTCCCCCCCCCCACACACTCTCTCTCTCTCTCTCAAAATAAATTAATTAACTAAAACTTTTTTAAAAAGCTCCCCATAGAGTGCACCAAGGAGGGGGCGCCCTCACCATAATTCCTTTTTTTTTTTTTTTTTAATTTTTTTTTACATTTATTTATTTACTTTTGAGAGACAGAGAGAGACAGGGCATGAGCGGGGGAGGGGCAGAGAGAGAGGGAGACACAGAATCCGAAGCAGGATCCAGGCTCCGAGCTGTCCGCACAGACGGACGGGGTTCGAACTCACAAACCGTGAGATCATGACCGGAGCCGAAGTCGGACGCTCAGCTCCCCTTCACCGTAATTTCTTAACCCTCACGACAACGTGTGATGGTGGGGACTCTTGGGAGCTCCGTGGTACGGACGAGGGCACCATGGTTCAGAGAGAGGAAACTGCTCTCTCAGGGTGGCGCGGCTGCTCGAGGAGGGAACAGGGACAGGAACCCAAATGGGTCTGACTGCACAGTCTGGCCGCGAGTGGCCCCGGCAGAGTCAGCGTGAGGCATTTCCGGAGGCATTTAGAACGGGGAGGTTTGGAACGCCATCTCTGGGGCTGCGCTGCTTGTCATATGACCCTGTGTCGGCTGCGGCTACTCCCACCTACGAGTATCCGGGAAACAGGGTTAGAAGAGTCCCTAGTGTGGCTCATTGCGAACAGAGGCAGTGCTCTGAGCACAGTGCCTGGCACTTTGCGGCACCCAGAGACGGCACCCTTTTCCTGCTGTTCCATCCAGAGAAAGTAAGGGAGATGTTGGTTGGGAAACCCGAGGGGTCCCTAGCCTCTTAGAACGGACGGTAAAAAGCAGCCAGATCATGCTGGCCACGCCCCCAGCCACGGTTCCATTCCTTAAACGTGTCATGTGCGTGTCTACCTCAGGGCCTTTGCACTGGCTGTTGCCCCTGCCTGGAGTGCTCTTCTCCCCGATACCCAGTCTGCTCACGCCCCAGGTTATTCTGCCCAAACATCTCCTTCCCCACCTTTTCCTCAGATCTAGCACCTTCTATCCCACTGTGCCCCCCACCACTTGGTTTTAAATGTTTCTTAATATCGAAATTGTTTGCTTCTGTGTTTTGTTTTGTCTTGTTGCCCCTGACTCTCCCACTAGAGCGGAAGCTCCAGGCTCACCAACTTTGTTTTCGTTCCTTTGTGTGCCCTCGTGCCTAGAACGGTGTCGGGGGCACAGCAGGTGCTCCGGGAAGTGTTAGTTGAAGGAGCGGCTCTGCTTTGCCCCAGGTGTCTGATCTCCCCTTTGCCTCCACAGACCCCTGGACCCCTCTGGCTACAACCCGGCCAAGAACAACTACCATCCCGTCGACGACGCCTGCTGGAAGCCGGGCCAGAAGTGAGGCTTCTCCCGCCCCCGACTGCCTTCCTCGCGCCCCTGTCGCCGGGTGCCTCTCCCTGGAGGCCTCCGTTGGAGGGAACTGCTGCGTCCCTCGTGTCCACGTTCAGGGGACACAGGCAGCAGCGTGGGAAGCGTGGGGAGGCAGGTGGACAGACGATGGACGGCGTGGGTTGTATGCACTGCCCCGTGTCTCTCTTCCTCCCCCAGGGTCCCTTACCTGGCTGTGGCCCGGACATTTGAGAAGATCGAGGAGGTTTCTGCTCGGTAATCTGTCGGACCCCCCTGTGGGGGGGGCGGGTGGGGGGAGGGATGCCTCCTGCTGCCTGGTCCCTTCACCCTCCCTCCCTCTCATGGCCATGGCCCTGGGAGCAGCTGCGAGGCCTCTTGGGCCCCAGGCTCGGAGGGCCCCTGCCCCGTGCTTCTGTCTGTTTCTGTTGATCAGAACGAGACGTGGTAGGGGAGAGAACCCAGATCCCTGGGGTGGGGACACCGCCTCCTCCCTATGACATGAGCTCCGTCTACCCGCATTTGGTGAGAAGTCGCCGCAGCCCGGCTGATTTCCTCGCCTTTACCGTGAGGAGGTCCGGGTGTTGGGTACAGTGAGAACCCCACTCCCAGTGAGCACTGCAAGGGCCCTCGGGGCCCTGGGCTGCCTGGGCCTGGTCCCCGTTCCACCCCATCCTGCGGCCCCCCCCCCATCCCTGTGTATTCAATCGGTGTTGTCAGGGGGCCCACGTCATTCTGGTCCCCGATGCTCCATCAGCATTGTTTCCAGATCTTTCCATGTTGCTTTAAGTAGGTCTCACCCCTTTTAACCGCACCGTGGGACTCTCTCGTTTTCGTACATCGCGGAGTGTTTAGGCTCTTCCCAGTGCTGCAGCATGTGTCTTTGTGAACACGGGAGGTGCCTCCTCTGGGGCCCGGAGGGTGCGGGAAGGGCCGGGAAGGCCAGACCTGTGGGCAGTGGAGCCAGTGCCCAGCCCCGGGCGCAGACAGGTCTGGGAGTGGGCCCCGTCCCGGCTGCTTCCTGGCTGTGTGACCGTGGGCGGGTGGCCTGACCTCTCTGAGCTTCGGCCTCTGCGTAAGGAAAGTGAAGATCATCCGTCTCGGGTTTGCTCGGAGGGGGTGCCACAGTGGCACAGCGAGGTGCCTAGTAAGTACTTTTAGGAGGTGCCGTTGGCAGTCACTGAGTTCAGGAGGACTGTGGGTGACTGTCCAGTCCCCATGATCCCCAGTTGGAGGGTCTTACAACTTTTTTTTAGGGTCTTTAGAAATAACTGTAAACTTCGAGAAAAATCATAGAAATGGCACAGCGAGCCCCCACGTACCCGTGATCAGCTTTCTCTAACATTGACGTGTTTACGCCGGCAGGGGGATGGTTACCAAGATCGCGGTGTCCGCGTTAGCGCGGGCTGTTACGCGACGCGCAGACGTCACTCGTGTCTGCCTGGTTTCCCCCTTTGCGTTGGCTTTGCTAGGCCGGGACCCACCCTGGACCCTCGCCCTGACCCTGACCCCTGCCTGTGGTGCCTGGTCACCCTGTCTCCTTGTCTCTGTGCTCGACGCTCCTCGGTCTTTCTTGGTCCAGGCTCCCCACTGTGGCACTTTCGACGAGTCCGGTGACCTTGCACAAGTGTCGCTTTGGGTCTGTGTGACGTTTTCTCGAGAGCTGATTCAGGCGGGGCGCCTGGGGGGCTCAGTCAAGTGAACGTGTGACTCTTGCTTCCGGCTCAGGTCGTGATCTCACGGTTTGTTGGCTTTGAGCCATCGTGAGGCTCCAGGTAGACCTGAGTTTGGGGGGCAAGCTGTTCCGCCAGCATCGGAGCCACTGGTGGGTCCGCCTGTGATGGTCACGTCTGTGGGGTCTGCTCGGCGGGCTTCGTGGTCCTCCGGTGTCTCCTCCACGGGAATAGACTGAGTTCCTCTGTCCAGTTAGGCTGCCTGGGTGTGCGCTTAACGAACGTGCACACGTTCGTACAGACTTCCTGACACGGACAGAGGTGTCGTACTTTTACTTGTTTTTTTTTAAAAGCTTATTTTGAGAGGGGGAGAGAGAGAGAGAGAGAGCACAAGCAGGGGAGGTGCAGAGAGAGAGAGAGAGGGAGAGAGAATCCCAAGCAGGCTCCACGCTGTCCGCACAGAGCCTGATGCGGGGACCGAACTCGCGAGCCCGGGAGATCATGGCCTGAGCCGAAGTGAGGAATGGGACGCTGAACCCACGGAGCCGCCCGGGTGTCCCTAATGTGGTCGTGCTTCTAGAGCCAGCGCAGCTTAGTGGCTGGGAGCGCGGGTCCTGGAGCAGACGGCCTCGGGTCACCTCTCGGCTTGAGTCGCACGGGCTCTGTGACCTCGGGCGAGTTCCATGGTGGCTCTATGCCTCAGTTTCCTCATCTGTGCAGTGGGGGTGATAGGAGCGTCTGTGTGATGGGGGAGCCGTGAGATTTCAGTGAGCGGAAACACACAGATGCTTGGAAG